GGAGTCACCAGAGACAGAGGGGGGAACAGAACAGGCAGACTGACTGAAATACAATGCTGAGAGGAGCAGTGGGTGAGACAGGAGAGGTCTGCTGCGCCATGTGGGCACCTCCCTGGCTGGGGATTGAACTCGTGCTGTAGTGGCTGTGGACAGCTTCATAGTGCGGTGCTTAACCCCTTGCACCACCAGGGAGGCCCAGGGAACTACTGTTTTTAACCCATTTTACAGATAGGAGCACAGGGATACAGAGGAATTAAGTAACATGCCCCAAGCCACACAGAATTAGCATTCAAACCCAGCATTCTGGATCCAGAGTCCATTCTCTTAAGCATTATGATGTGTTGTCTTTTCAGTTTTCAGAATTTAGTTCAAATGCCACCATCCCTGGAAATCTTCCTTTACTGCTTTCCAACAAAGTCATTCTTTTTGCCATTCTCGTGTCCACTGGTACTCTGTATTCCACCTGTTAATTCATTTGTTCATTTATCCATTCACTCATTCATTCAAAAGTCATAAAAACATATTGAACTCTCACTGTGTCCTATTCTTCTAGGCCTGGGAATGTATCTATCTGTGATAGTTTGTATGGGAATTATTAATTGATCTCTCTCTTCCCTGTGCATTCCTCCTTGCAAGTGTTAATCTTTGTAACTACTCTAGAATGTTGCACAGTACCTGGAATGTAGTTTGTCCTCAGTCAATGTGTTTTTCAGGAATAAATGAATAGTTATCAAGAATGGTGATGACAGTAATGATAACGTCAACCATTCAGATGAATCTGGTGTGTGACTGAGACAGTGTGGCCAGGGGCCAGGTACATTATCACAGTTGAGCCCCAGGCCAGGAGTCTCCTGGGGAGATGACAAGTACCTTCTGCATGTAGACCAAGCCGTTGATGTCACTGTGATTATTTCTGCCATTAGTATTGGTGTTATGCTACAGTGTGGCGGGTGCCAGCAGCAAGCTGGCCTGCCACGCATCCTGATGGCAGAAGAAACATTAGGGAAGCAAATGCTCTCCAAGGATGAGCAACAAGGAAGACCAGGCTCAGTATGGGCTTCCAGCCCAGAATCTTAGCAATCCAAATGTCAGCTCTGGGTGCTCATAGGGGCACATTTGCCTCTTACTGCTGTCTTCACAGTTCAAAACCTTAGCTATACCAGGTGGCAGGGATATAGAGTTGGGATGCTATGGAGCAGGAGTGACAAGATTAGAGAGTCATAAACACAAGAGTGCCTCTACTTTAATTGGCTCAAAGTCTGAGTGGGTGATGGAATAGGTAGGGTAGGTGGAGGTGGATCTGGGACGAGAATGAATAGAGGGTAGGCAAAACAGGCTTAACATGGATCTGGATTCTTTTATAGTCCCAGGTCCTGGGAGGATGCATATGGGGCTTCCTAGTTCTGTGTAATCTCCTTGGAGATCAGAAGTCAGATGACACAAATGATACTTTTAATATTTGTGCAGAATCCTCATAGGACAATGACTTTTCCTAAAGATCTTATATCACTGTGTTGAATGATTATCAGTTTCTTGGGTCACTGGAATCCTCTAAAAATCATTGGGTTCATTCACCTACTTTTTGACAAGAGGTAGAAACAATTACAAATGGTATATAACAATTGTTTGCCAGCGATGTGCTTGGTGCTGTCAGATTCAGATAGTACAAGGCAGCAACAGATCTCTGATCTTGGACCACGTCATTTCTACAGGGGCTGCCTCAGCCCCTGTGGGACCTACGGGAAAAGTTGAGTTTTTAGCCATCAGCAGATGTGACTGCCCTGGCCTCTGGGGTAATACAAAGAGGAGGAAGGTGTCATTTATCTGACAGCTTCTGGTACTCAGGGGAACCTGTTGCTGAAAACACCAGCCACCTCCGATGTTTGTTTTAGGCCAGTCACATTCTTGAGGGATAATGGGTAAGGAAATGGTAAATTTTCCAGGGAGAAGTCTTCCTTTCTACATGAATAAGCTAAAGCCTTGAATACAAGATACAGTCAGAGTTTGTCCAATATCTAGGTCTCTTGATTTTCAACTTAACCTCTCCCCACCGACTGGCTCCATTACAAAGTCTTCCAGTGGACAACTAAATTTCTTTTCTCCAAGTTAGTAGTGGGGAAGCAGGAGAGGGAATTTGAAATTTGAGAGTCTTCTTACTTGTCATGGCTCTTTTTCTCCAAGGCTCTGCTTCTATCACCTCAGGGTACCTTGAGACAGAAGGGATATTGCATTTCAGGATAGTCATTCCTAATCTGCTTAGTTCACCAGTGTGTACCTTAATCATTCCCCAGTTACCCCAAACATACCTTATCCATCCCTAACCTCCCAGTTGAGGGTATTATGGGCTGCCTTCCCTATTCTACACTCTGCTCTGGCATCCTAAATCCATTTGGCTTGCCCTTCCTCTGCTTTAACTTTTCTTGTAATGAACTTCCTTCTGGTACACCCCTGATACATCCTCTTCCCACAATAGTGAATGTTTCTGATGGGCAGTCCCTGCTAGGCATTGCATAAATATTATACTGTGCTGGAGTTTGAACAGCTGCCCTTTGGAGATGGTGAGCAATTAATAATACCGTTTATTGAAGGCATAGTGTATACTAATGCTCTTTTTTATCTTCATCCTTACAACCTGTCGATGAGGTAATTACTATTTTTTTTATTATCTCTCTCTGTGTGTAGCATAACTATGTACTTTTTGCAATGAAAACACACAAACTCACACAGTGACAAGGAGCGAATGAAAGACAGACTTGAGGGAATTCTTCCCTTGTGATGTTTAAGAAAAGGATATTTCTAGAATGATGGATTCATCTGTGTTCACAGTGAGATGGTTGACTTAATGACCTCACTTGCCCCTGGCATCTACCCGTGATAGATGGGCTGCCCCATACTCCCCAGGCTCTACATTCTTTCATGGGCAGAGAGCTGGAAGAAACAGAGCAGAGTAAGGACAAAAAATGTCTGCAGAAGTAAGTGAAATGCATAGTTGTCCTTGGAGATATAATTGTAACTGTTTTTCTATTTCTGAGGAAGTTAGTCTAAAGACTCATTTGTGGACGTCAGACACTAAACATGGAATATTTCTGCTTTTTTTCAAAATGGCTGCTAGATATAAAGAGATGTTTATGCTTAATTTTATCCAAAAATGAGTAATACATGAGTATTGCAAAGCATTTAAACAATGCATATAAAATAAAAAGTGAAGGTCCTCTCCTCAAATTATAATTACTAGAGATAACAACTACATATAATTTGAGGCTGAACATCTAGAGATAGATATTTCTGATCATATTCAAATATTCATAGAAGAACAGCAAAGTGGTATCATGCCACATATAGCAATGCATTTTAATTTTCACTTAATATATCTGGGTCAAATGGAACATATAGGTATATTTAGATTCATTTTACTGTTTTTAGAGGCTGCATGGTATTCCACTGCATGAATGTCGCAAAGTTTATATAACAATTCTCTACTTATGGACATTTCACTTATCCTCCCCACTCCTTTTTTTTTTTTTTTAAAGATTTATTTATTTATTTATTTATTTATTTATTTTATTTATACAAGCACTGGGTACAGTCAGAAGCGCGGGAGGGTGAGAGAATTCACCAGAGCCAGAGCAGGTAGCAGAGCAGGCAGAAGGACCGAAGTACACTGCTGAGGGGAGCAGCGGGCAGCAGGAGAGGTCTGCGCGCCCTGTGGGACCCTCCTCTGGTGGCCTGGTTGCAGCCGGGGATCGAACCGGCACCGCAGAGGCTGCGGGCAGCTTCGCAACCCAGCGCTCAACCGCTGCGCCACCGGGAAGGCCCTTCCCCACTCCTTTTTTGTTGTTGCAGTGCTGTAATAAATATCTCTGCACACACATATTTGGGTACTTTGCATATATTTGTTTAGGATACATTATAAAAGCTGTGTACATTTAAATTTTTATAGCTATCAAATTGTCCTCTATAAAAATGTCACAATTTATAATCATTTACCAGCAATTTGTAATTTCTCATTTTCCTAATTACCATCAAGGTTGAGGATTTTCATGTTTATTGGCTACTTGCATGGCTTCTTTTGTGAATTGCATCTTCTTAACTTTTGGCTATTTTAAAATCTTGTCTTTTGCTTTATAGACATGTCGTTTGCGTTACAGATATTAACTATTTCATATAATGAAAGTCTCAATTTATATTTATCTTTGAAAATCATGATGACTTGTACCATATAGAGACTCTATGTGGCCAAATTTGTCGGGCTTCTATACAATATATTGCTTCTGGATTCCCTTTATGCTTAGAAACACATGCATTTTTTCAAAGATTATAGTAACATGTTTTCTTGCATTTTAATTTCATTCTTAGATCTTCAATTGAACCACATTTTATTTTTGTGAAACAGGTAAATAGGGCTCCGCTCCTGTAAACTTTATTTTTCTCCAATCTGGCTTGCAGGTACAGGTTTCTGGCGATATTTTTGGTGAGCAACAAGGGGAAACCGTCACCTAAGGACACACGCCTTTTTTGGCACCCACACTTGCTCCGCACTTCAGAGAGTGCTTGACTCCATCCTCAAGCGAATTTTAAAGTCTCGATTTATTTTTTTTAAAGATTTATTTATTTATGCATACAAGAGCTGGGGAACAGGCGATGAAAAGATCCACCAGAGACAGAGCGGGGAACAGAACAGGTGGATTGACCGAAATACACTGAGGGGAGCAGCGGGCGAGACAGGAGAGGTCTGCTGCGCCACGTGGGTTGCTCCCTGGCCGGCCGGGGATCGAACTCATGCTGCAGAGATTGCAGATTGCTTCACAGTGTGGTGCTTAGCCCCTTGCGCCACCAGGGAGGCCCTAAAGTCTCAATTTATAAACGTAGAAACAGGTCATAAGCGATGCGGCTTCCACAGCCGGCAGGGCAGGAAGAACACCACACAGAATTTTTGACCCCCAAGGCCACGCCCACTTTCAACCTCTCGCGACAGTTGTACGTCATCCGAGAGCGTCGGTGCCTTACGTCGCGCGGACCTCGCTCCGCGGTGCTGTCTCACCGGTGAGGCCGAGAAGCCGGCGAGTTCCGCACCCTGTCGAACCTGCAGCCCCCCACCTCCCGCCGCCATGGAGTACCTCATCGGCATCCAGGGCCCCGACTATGTCCTTGTGGCCTCCGACCGCGTGGCCGCTAGCAGTATTATCCAGATGAAGGACGGTGAGAGGAAGCCCGGGAGGCCCGGCAGGGCCTGCGTGTAGGGGCAGCGGGGAGGGAGTTCGAGGTGGGCTTGGGTGAGTACCAGGGAGGTCTGGGAGGGGAATCTCGCCTGCCTCGGTATGTACTTGCTTATTTTGGGACTTAGGGGGCAGCCAGACATGCTTAGGGCCTTGCCGTTCGCTGTCCTCGGGGCTCCTAGGTCAGTGCTCAGCTCTGGCCTAGGCTGAACGCTGGCTACGGGAGGGATGGCTGAGGAAATTTCAGTTTTTAAGTGTTGAAGCGCGTGCCGGCCACCAGGCTTGCTAGACCCCCCCATCTCTGTAAAGTTTCCTGGTGTCGCTACTAATGAGATTAGTTGGCTGGCCTTCTAAGGTGGATTTCCTGGGGACAGTGAGACTGTGGGACCAGAAACCTGTATCTGCTGCCTGTACCTTCCATGTCTCAGTGCTGATTTTCCTTTTCCAGGCGGCTGTCACTTATTTGCTTTATGACCGTAGTCGTTATTTCGCAGATTTCCTCATCTGTAAGGCTTGTTAGTAATAGTCCAATCTCATAAGCTTGTTGGTAAGATTGAGTGAAATTTTTTTGTGCAAATATGTAGCACAGTGACATACTTGGTAATAATAATGCTAAGTACTTATATATTGGGTGTTGTTTTAAACCGTTTATGTTAATTCATTTAACCTTTTGAGATAGGCGCTTTACAGACGTGAGTCTGAGACATAGGAGTCTAAGAAACTTGCCTAAGCCCACAAATAGCGAACCCAGGTTCAGACCTCTCTGCAGTATAACTCCATATCTTTGACTCCAGATTTTGATGGTTGATCTTCAGAATCTAAGAGTGTGTTGTCATGATTAAATAGATGTTACTTTGGCTCAGAGAATTTAACATTCACTTGAAAAATTGGTTTTAGGCATGAACATGCTAGTTTAGGCACTGTAGTGCTAGATGCGGAAAGGATGCAAAGCAGTTAAAAAACAGTATTGGGCCTCCCCGGTGGCGCAGCGGTTGAGTGCTGGATTGCGAAGCAGCCCGCAGCCTCTGCTGCGCCAGTTCGATCCCCAGCTGCTCCCCGGCCACTGGAGGAGGGTCCCACATGGCACGCAGACCTCTCCTGCCGCCCGCTGCTCCCCTCAGCAGTGTACTTATGCCCTTCTGCCTGCTCTGCTCCCTGCTATGGCTCTGGTGAATTCTCTCACCCTCCCGTGCTTCTGACTGTACCCAGTGCATGTATAAACAAACAAACAAACAAACAAATAAATAAATAAAAATACATGCCTCTTAAAAAAAATTAAATAAAAACAGGGGAATAAATACTATAAGATAAAAGTAGTTTCACTCATAAATACTAGGTTAGTTTTAAAATTAATGATTTCTGGAGTAAACCCTAAGGGTATGCAGAGAAAAGAATGATGAATTTGGAGTTCTTGAAAATTGGTTGGAAATAATTGTGCAAAATTCTCTGATTTGCCCTCTATTCTAGTCATTTAAAAAAAAATTTTTTTTAATGATAGGAGCTTTTTCATATATCTTTCATTTCATGAAGTAACTTGGGTAGACTAAATGCTGAAAATGAGTAACCTTTTGGATTCTTTTTTTTTTTTTTTAAGTATAAAATGAGATCGTTGTTTCCAATCAGTTTTTTTGGTTTTTCACTTCGTGAGGCAGTTTGGTACTATAGAAAAGGTATTTCCCACAGATTGCATGCTTAATGAAGTGGCTTAACGCTTCAGTTTAGTTCTATAATACATTTAATGTCTCTTGTCTCCTGGCCTGTATAAAATTGTTTTTAAATTACTCAGGGTACTCCAGTCCATATAGGATACTCTTTTTCCCCCGAAGTTCTATAGCATGTATAATCTGAATTGTATCATCTAAAACTGAGTATAATAATACTGTATATGTATAGTTTTCCTTACCGATGGGTTAGGTAGGAGTAAGTGATATTAATACCATTTTATACATTTGAAAATGGGATTGAAAGAGGGAAAATAATTTTCCCAGATTCAAAGCGCTAAGCCCAGATTACAACCAAGGTCTATTGTGTTCTAGTCCAGTTGACTTTCCACAGTATTACACGCTGATGTTCATTTTGTTCATTTTTTTTTCCGTGTATGTGGGTCTTGTAAGTTTTTTGTCAATGATGGAAAATTCCTAGAATTACATAGGCTGTTTCCTGTGCAGCTCAAGGAGCCATTAGCATCTATAACTTAGCTTTCATATTCCCGTTCACTGCTCACTGGACATGCAATAGATGTTTCAAAAATAGCTTTGGCCTCGTATCATGTTTAAAATTGAAGAGTGTAATGCCTAGAATTTTAACTTTTCTTCTAAATGTGACAAATTCTTTATAAACAATTTTTCCCCAAAAGATCAGCTTTTTTTTCTCATTTTGAAAATAATGCAAACTCATGTAAAGTATTATAAAAATGATGCATATTAAATATAGGTATTTTAGGAAAAACTGATAAGCAAAAAGAAGGAAATAAAAATTGCCCATACTCATGCCACTAGCAAGAAGTTAGGTGCATAACCAAGATGAAAATGCACACATTGATGAAAAATGATGTAAAAATATATAAAATTTTAAAAAATAATAAAATAGTTTATAAAAATTAAAAAAAAAAAGTTAGACGCCAGTGGCATACAATAAGCTTCTGGTTCTATTTGTTTGCATAGGTAATATTTATGTGAAAAATATTTTCTTGTATTAACAAGTATGAAAATTAATAGTTTCTAAAATTTCTGTAGCCTATAACAAGTAAAAATGGGGTGGGGGGGTTGAGTTTCAAGACAATTATCTACAGGCACATTATGTGTTTTTGTGTGTGTGTTCAGTCTAGGAAGCCATATTACTGGTGTCTGCAATTCTGAAATACTAAAGTATAGTAAAGTATCTGATGGGAGCATTTTATTTTTTAAATCCTATTAATGGATTTTGACTTTTTAGAAGCTTTCAAACAGGAAACATGTCTCCCACTGAAGATTATTCAGCACTATTTGAAAAATGAAAAGTGAAAGTGAGAGTAAGACATAGATTTAGGCTTTTTCTGAAGCTACAGTCTGAATATGGAGTTTTCTTCCTTAGACACTAAGTGCTATCCCAGTATTTTATCTGTCTGATCTGAATGAATTTGGTTAAGCTAGATTATCTTAGAGTATTAGGATTTTTGAGATATTTTTGAATAGCTTAATGTTAGAACTTTTGCTTTGGCAGTCATTTAAATTTTGTTTTGCTTGGAAATGAGGTTTGTTTACTTTTTATATTCTTGAGTTTTTTGTTTTTGTTGTTCTTTCTTGAGATGGCATCTTAATTTTAATTGTATCATTGGTCCTTTCCATAAATGCTTATATTTGTGTTTAAACACAGTAACATTTGTATTTGTAGAGACATTTCAGGACTGTAGTCATGAGCCTAAAGATAATGGTCATTTACATGATTCTTTCAGATTGCTTGGTTCTTTGCCCGTCAGTTGCTTTTAAATGTTTTTAATTGTATTCTCAGTTGTCAACTTTGATATATACTCACCGACTAAAATTGACTAATAAAATATGCTGATGAGTTGAATATGGAGAATGAAAGTAATTAATACAGTTGCTTATTAAAATCTTATAAGAGGGGCCTCCCTGGTGGCTCAGGGGTTAAGACAGGGCTACCAAGCTATCACCAGCCACTGCAGCACAAGTTCAGTCCCCGAGTTGATCCCGGAGCTGGCCCGGTTGCAAACCACATGGTGAAGCAGACCTCTCCTGTCTCACCTGCTGTTCCCCTAGCAGTGTATTTCAGTAGATCTTTCTGTTCTGCTCCCTACTCTCTCTGGTGACTTCTCTCACCCCCTGCGCCTCTGGCTTGCATCCTAGTTCTTGTATGCATAAATAAATCTTAAAAAAAAAATCTTATAAGAACAGTAGTTAATAAAAATTATTCAATATAGTAGTTAACAAACTTTTGTATCATTACCTCTATATATAAAATAGTAAGTTTTTGATAATTTCTAACCAAGATTTTTTTTCTTTGAGCAGATCACGACAAGATGTTTAAGATGAGTGAAAAAATCTTGCTGCTATGTGTTGGAGAAGCTGGAGACACTGTACAGTTTGCAGAGTATATTCAGAAAAATGTGCAACTTTATAAAATGCGAAATGGTGGGTAATACTTAGATTGTGGCTTTGTGCTTTTATTGGTTTCAATTTGAACCGAAAAGAGTATAATTGACACTATATGTCATATTTTTATCTGAATCTCCTGTTTTTAAAACCTTATATAGAAAAAAAATAATAATTAAAAAAAAAAAAAACTATATAGACCCCTTTCTGGTCCTAAAGATTTTCTGCAAAAATCCCAAAGCAGAAAAGAAACCATTATTGCTACTTGGGGGATAAAACTGATAGCATCTTAGAGATGAACATGATCATATCAGATTTTTTAAGAGTTACATATTTCAGAGGTTGTGATTCGAGCTAAAGTATATCTGAATATCAATTCAAAGACCTAAATTAAACTTGTTTCTAATATCTTTTATTATCCTCTCTGAAGCTTTATTTCCTTATCTCCAAAATGGGATTATAATAATGAATAATACATATGAAGATGCTTTGTAAACTTAAAGCTCTTTTTAATTATAGGAGATTTAGTGTGTCATAAAAATGTTCTGCCTGGGCATCTCTCCTGCCCACCTGTGACTATGCTGGTGCCTCTCTTTTTCTTTCTCTTTTTCCCAATAAACCTTTCCTTTTAAAATGAGGGGTAGAGGGTCCTCCCTGGTTGTGCAGGGTTTAAAGTCTCATCTCTGTCAAGCTATCAGTAGCCACTGTGGCAAGCAAGAGCAAGAGTTTGACCCTGGGGCCAGGGAGCTGACCCACATAGCGCAGCAGACCTCTCATGTCTCGCCCACTGCTGCCCTCAGCAGTGTATTTCAGGAGATCTACCTGTTCTGCTTCCCTGTCTCTGGTAAATCCTCTCACCCACCCCTTTCCACTACCCTCCCTACCCCCCCCCCACCTCTGTCCTATACCCCAGCTCCTGTATGCATAAATAGATAAAAATAAATCTCTAAAAGGTGGGGAAGGGTACTTCTTAGCCTCTAGTAGGTTTTTGTCTAGGGTGACAATTAGGATTTTTGTGAGGTATTTTGTGAATTCTTTCTAGAAGTAGTACTTGATGTATCAGGAAAGCCTCCCCATCATATAATACTAAGCATCAGCTTGCTGATCCAGGAAAGTTTAGGATCACTCTCTGGCAGGAAAAATCTTACTTCCAGTTACTTTCTTTACAGTTTAATAACTCTGTTAAACAGCACTGGTATAATGTGAAACTGTGGAGGAACTTAATTTGAATATAATTTTACGTGTAAAATTATTAGTATCTACTTATATAGTTTTTTAGATAGGAGATTTAGTGACATACATTCAATTCCATAAATAATTTTGAGGGCCTCATCTATATTGAGCATTCTGCCTAGTACTACGAAGAATTCAAAGATGATTAAGTTACTGCCATTCGGGCACTTAGAGCACATGGTACTTAGGTTTAAGCAAGCTTAGAATATTTCAAGAATTATTTTTTTTAGTGGTTCTTCTTTTTGCCTACATGGTGGGTGAAGGATTTCAGTAATGCTTCTGAGGTATAGTGGGTATAGCATTACTTCACTGTCCTGTTCTGGGAGAGAGCAGATGAGTAAACAAGAGTTAAGAGAATTGTTAATTAGTTAATTGTCTAATTAGTTAGTGGTGGTTAGGTGAAGAATTGAAAAGTATTCCTGCTTGTCCAGAGTTGCTTCCTTATGCTTTAATATGTGCTAGTAGACTTGTAATGACACTGTAACATAATAGCTATTCAATAAATATTTGTTAAATTTAATCTGACTCTTACCTGATGTGTCAGTGGTGTTTGAAATGTTGTAGGAAATAACTTCATCACATGCTGTCTGTCTTTCTAAACTGGCATTTTCTATATGGGGCTGCTGAGTTGTGGGTTATTCTTGTGTCTTGGCACTACTCCCATTTACAAAGTGAGAACTTTATTAAGGGCGCACCTGATGCCATTCCTCTGGGCTATAATTTGTTGGCAATCTCTTTTAACTCTCATATGCAATAGAGTATTATTATCTAGTCACCATGCTCTACATTATATCCTCTGACTTACTTATTTTATAACTGGAATTTGTACCTTTTGAATAATTTTCACTCATTTTGCCTATCCATCCCACCTACCCTTCCCTGCCTTTAGCAACTACCAGTCTGTTCTCTGGAGATACTCTTTATTTTTTTAAATGCTGTGGATTAGTGATGGAAACATTCTTTTTCTGACTTGTACTTTTGAAAATCATACTACACTTCTTTTTTAAAAAAACCATTTATTTATGCATACAAGAACTGGGGTGTAAGCCAGAGGTGCTGGGGGTGAGAGGATTCACCAGAGAGAGTGGGGAGCAGAACAGGCAAATCCACTGAAATACACTGCCGAGGGGAGCAGTGGGGAGACAGGGGAGGTCTGATGCGCCATGTAGCTTATCTCCTTGGCTGGCCTAGCTGGGGGTGGAGATAGAACTTGAGCTCCAGTGACTGGTGACAGCTTGATAATGCTGTCTTTAACCCCTGCACCAACAGGGAGGCCCCCCCATACTACACTTCTTAATAAAGTTACTTATTTAAAAACAAAACCTTATAAAGTATGGCCCTAAGACTGTCTTAACATTCAGCCTTTATTCTTCCGATACTGTTTTTTAAATAAAGTAAAAAGAATGGCATCTCAGGACCTCTTTCCTTTTTTCAACACCAGTGTAATTGTACCCTTTTCCTTCTACAGAAGAAACCATGTCTCACTTAGAATAGTAACCTTGGTTCTGTTTTGTAGCCAGGAATTCCTACCAATTATGACCACAACTGTTAAATGGGAAGAAGGACAAGAAGTGGGTTTGGGGCCTCCCTGGTGGTGCAGCGGTTGAGCGCTGGGTTGCAAAGGTGCCCACCTCTGCAGCACCGGTTCGATCCCCAGCCCCCAGGCTGGGGTCCCACATGGTGCGCAGATCTCTCCTGCCACCCGCTGCTCCCCTCAGCAGTGTATTGTCAGTCTGCCTGTTCTGTTTCCCACTCTGGCTCCGGTGAATTCTCTCACCCTCCCGCGCTTCTCTGACTGTACCCAGTGCTTGTATAAATAAATCTTTAAAAAAAAAAAAAAAGTGGGATTGTATTTTTCATTCTGTATACTTTTTAATGATTCATTTATTTATGCACACAAGAGTTGGTGTACAGGCCAGAGATGCGGGGGTGGGGAGGGTGAGAGGATCCACCAGAGACAGTGGGGTACAGAACAGGCAGACTGACTGAAATACACCACTGAGGGGAGCAGCATGCGAGACAGGAGAGGTCTGCCTCGCCATGTGGGTAGCTTCCTGGCCGGCCGGGGATCAAATTCGTGCTGCAGAGGCTGCGGGTTGCTTCATAGTGCGGTGCTTAACCCCTTGCGCCACCAGGGAGGCCCTCATTCTGTGTACTTTATACACTCTCAGTGTACAAAGGAAAATGGGCTTTAAGAACTGTAGTAGTCTGGTGATTTGGGGTATTACTGTTTCTTTTTCTTCACTTTAAGTATGGCTGTTTATCTCTTGTACCAGGTTATGAATTGTCTCCCACAGCAGCAGCTAATTTCACACGCCGAAATCTGGCTGACTGTCTTCGGAGTCGGGTAAGCATACAGCAGGCAGTTTTTGATAAGAGCGGCAAAATCTGTGCTTCCTTTATTTCCTATTACACATGTGCAGTGTTTTTATGCTTCCTGAGACTTTCCTGTTGCTACTTAATGAATTCTTTGGTCTCTATATTGATTTTTCTCTTTCTTCATAGATGCTAATTAAAACCCAGAGGGGCAGATACACATTCCCAGAGAATTTGGATGGGGCATACCAACATAGGGGCCTGTGACAACCTTTAACATTTTTTTCAAAATGATTTCATAGCAAGCCATGTTTCTTAATTCTTGTGATTAAAGATCCCTACATTGGAGTGTAGGTGAAATCTTGAAAATAATAATACAGGTTTCATGTTGAGATTATTTTCTGGGTCTTTCCGTGATTGTTGCCAAAGCTCATAGAATTGTTCCTCTTATTCTGGTCTTGTTTGCTATCTTAAAGCTGTCTCTGTTCATCAACAGCATGTAAAAGGTGCAGCATTAAGTTAAGGATTGAATGTGTAAGAGAATATGTAGGATGTACCAGTGTGATTGCTAAAGGTATGTATTATTTCTTTCCCACAGGAACTAAGTAAATGGAGCTTTGCCATGTGACCTCACCCCCTGTGCCTATTTACTCATCTATGAAATCGAGATAACTTCTTAACCCCACAGGAGTGCTAGGGAAATGAATGCTTGTAAATCATAATGTTTAGCATTCATATGACTTTTGCCCAGAGCATTTTTGCTCCATAATTTAATCTACTTACTATTCCACTGAGAACTTCAGTAGTTAATTCTCTATCACTGATATGTAGTGAAAGGCATAAAGTGGCAAAGGGACTAGCTCCAGGTCACACAGCAGGTCAGTCAAAGCTGCAGTAGTGGTGCTATAATTACTTGACTCTTCTGCCCTACATCAGTTCCTTGGTTTTCCAGTAGTGTTTCTAGAACATCAGGGGTATTCATATTTTTTATTATGGTTGTAGTTTTATTGTATTTGCTTAAGCTGAGTTGTGACAGATATCTAAACTGTTATAGAGCAACCCCGATATTAAACGGGTTCCTGGCTGTGGGTCCTCACCCGCGCGCTTTAAAGGGACTTATGAATACTCTACTACAGACACACACAAAAAGGTTAATAAAAAGTTTATTTACAAGAGGAAAGGAAATAAGGAAAATGTACAACTCAGGGAGAAAATAGGGAAATAAAGTCTTTAATGCGTCCTACCCGATCCGACGACCTAGAAACCCAAAGTCACTCTCAGAGCTGGCCGGACACTGCGAGCTGGTGGAGAGCCAAAATGGGGTTCCCCAAAGCCCACGTGTCTGCCTTTTATATCCACCTGGCTGCTTAACCCCACCCTCAGGTCCCAGCCACCTTCCCTTTGGTGGTGATGGGATTTGGAGTTCCCAGTGTCTTTGGCTTTGACCTGGGGTGGGGGTGGAGTCTACAAAGCCTATATGAAATTTGCTTTGGGACATCCTTTTCCCCCTAACAAAACCAGTTCAGGTATTACGTTTTTTAAAAATTACTGTAGCTCTTTAAAGCAATTTATTTTCTAGTTCCTAGTAATACTTCACTGAAAACTTCTAAATAGTCTTTCTCATTGCTAGCTTTGACTAAAGAAGACTTGTACAACATGACTGGTGATGAAATTTGAAGAAAAACTACAGCCTGAAAGGAGGAGACAGAGTTACATATATTGTTTTGATCTGGGTGAAAGGTCAATGACCTTTTCTTGTGGCCTTCTCTGTGAAAGAGAAAATGTCAGATATGACCTTTGCTGCTAACAAGCTATTCCTGAGGTATTTAGTAAAGGATATGCTGTGGCTTTGCTGTGTAAAATGTTGTTCAGACTTGCCGGGCAGAACTGCAATAAGAACTCCAGCTTTGTGCACAATAAACACATTGTCATAAATGCTGCAGACATTAAGTGAATTAAGCCTCTTTTAGAATTGAGATAAGTGTGACAGTGTGCTCCATTCAGATGCAGAGCATCAGGTTAATCTTATAGCAGAAATGTTTGATGTCTTAACAGATAACTATCCCTTGCAGGCAGTGACATGCGGCTCTAGTAAATATTGACTGCTCTGCCTTGCTTCTAGGTCCAATTCTTTTTCCCCCATCCTCCTATCAAATAAGTTGTTATTTCTAAAATATGAATTTATACTTTAGTCATTTAATTCTAGGGAGAAAATGATAGTTTTTCAGTCTTCCTAATAAGTGCAGTCACTAGATTTGGTACATTCATACAGATACATACCACTTGGTACATAAGACTTATTTTGGGTAGGCTAGTTATCTTGCATAATTTTTTGTCTTAAGCTCAAATTGTTTGATTTCCAGTATGCTGTGTGTGTGTTTGTAGGTGGTATTTGTTGGAAGGACATTTTTTTATTGCAGAATATTTAATGACTCTTATGTAAACTGGTTCCTTAAGAGGCAGGTACTTTAGCATTGTTGTTAAGCACAATCTCTGGAATTAGACTGCATGGGTTTAAATCTTTTACTCTCTGATTTGCTGGCACTGTATTTTTAGACACATTCTAAGTTTATCTAATTAATAAAATACTCACCTATTTCATAGAATTATTATGAAGATTAAAGGATGTAAGTGTGTAAAACTATTAGCACAGTATATGGTATATATAACTAATTAATAAATCACTTTTGTTTTTGTGTTGGTATTGCTATTTGGTTGAAGAAGCAATTTAGTAGTTTTCTTTCCTATGTGTGATTCTTTAACTCTTTCTTATGGATGATTCTTTGTTGTGATATTTTATTTTATTTTTTTAAAGATTTATTTATTTATGCATATAAGAACTGGGGTACAGGCCAGAGGTGTGGGGGGTGAGAGGACTCATCAGAGACAGAGCGGGGAACAGAACAGGAAGACTGACTGAAATACACTGATGAGGGGAGCAGTGGGTGAGACAGGAGGGGTCTGCTGTGCTATGTGGGTAGCTCCCTGGCTGGGGATCGAACTTGTGCTGCAGTGGCTGCAAATAGCTTTATAGGTTGTGTCTTAACTCCTTGTGCCACTTGGGAGGCCCTGTTGTGGTATTTTAGTTGAAGTGATCCACTAGTAAAGAGGGAGGGGACATTAAAAGTTACTGATATTTATAGGGAATATATAAACTAATGTTGATATCTGTTCTTTCCTAGGCTTTATTCTAGACTGATACAGTTCCATATGACAGCCACAAGCCATTTGTTACTATTTAAATTTAAATAATTAAAATAAAATAAAATTTGAAATTTGGTATCTGGCTGAGAACCTTTTAGACTTTGAATGAGAAATAAACTCTTGTTCTTTCAAAAAAAATTTTGGTTCCTTAGTCATGGTCACATTTTAAGTGCTTAGTAGGCACATGTGGTTACTGTATACCGTATTAGACACTGCCGTTATAGAACATTTTCATCATCATAGGAGGTTTTCTTAGTGCTATTCTAGATACATATGTATATGACCTTATTTAGTACTTATAACAACATAAAATTAGTATTATCCACTTAAGGATCAACTTCAGTTTTATGTATTTTATGTGTTGAAGTTCCATGTAAGACTATTGAAAAAGTGGCTTCACTGTCCCCTTCTCATCAAAGCTTGAAAACTAATGATGTACTTGAAAGAGCCCTACTCCAGGAGGCTTAGCTCTCCTGTTAGTTGAAAAACCTTGGGAGAAAGAATTTGATTGGATTATTTTTATGGGTGGTTTAAAGGGCATGATTTAAAGATCTATGTCAAGACCGTAGCTATACTTGAATTAATTTTTTTAGTGAAAGGGAAAAAACATGTAGGAAGGAATTTTAGGTATTAGTTACTTTCAGAAGTGCCCATATCTTGTCCTAAATTTGAGTGTGTTTGGTTTAGTTAATAGTTGGCTGATATAGTGTGCTCCTGTCCTGGGGGAATCTTGTTGCTTTGAGCCTTCTGTTCTGACCACGAGAGTTACTGTCCTCATGCCTTTGGTGGCTGGCACGTCTTTGTAAGTATCAGTGCGGTCATGTGACCTTGAGAACAGATGGCCCAGGTGAAATCTTGACTTTGCAGGTCTTTTCCCCTAAACACGACCAACCTTTTGTTACATGTGATTAAAATATCACTAACAAGAGTAATTTCACATGCTTTTTGGCAAATGTGGCTAGCAGGATGTGACATGACACAGCATTGCCTTCTTCCTCCATGTGCCATCTCCCTTGAGGCCTTATCTCCTCTGCTTGGCCCCGTCTCACCCATGCCCAGGCTTGCCTTAACAGCTCACCTGCTCCAGATGGGCGACACAGTGGGAGGACACTGGCAAAGGCAGATGTGTTTATTTTCCGGAGACAAAATGTTGTGCTGCCACAGATGGCAGTGCCTTGGAGCAAATGGCAGCCTTTGACACCGCTGCCACACAGCCTGGGCATCTTGACAGACAGAGCTGTCTTACTTTTGGTGATAGGAAAATTGAGAAAATAAAAATTTAAGATGTTCATCATGAAACTCCTGGAGTTTCAATGCAAGCAGCAGTTCTTTTAGACCTGGAGGGTAGTTTTCGTCCCCTTCTAACCTCAGTTAGCTAGTGAGTAAACTATAGATTTTCACTATGGGCCAAGAGTTATATGTCTTAATTATTTTTGTCTTCTATCCTTAATAGAACATAAGATAAAAACTGAAAATATATGGCTACACTTAAATGGATACTCAGTGATACTGCTAAATGGGTATCCCAGTTCACATCTCACGGGAATCTCTCTGAATCAGGGGTGGCTCATATCTGCCTCTTTGGAGATAATCACTGTTCTATTTTTAGTGGTCAGTGGATTATTAAAAGGCCTGGGGGACAGATGTGCCTTGAAGTTAAGATGCATAAATATGACACCATTTTGTGTTGATAGTGTTTTTTTTTTACTAAAAAGAATAAGAATTCTGACAGCTGCCCTTTTAAGCAGTTTGCTTGTACAGTCATTAGGGCTGGACTAAGTTTGTTAGGAAGACAAAGACTTGGATGTTGAGTCACTATTTTTACTA